GAAAAAAGCCTAAGAAGAAATGACAATGACAATGACAATGACAATGACAGTGACAATGACAATGACAATGACAATGACAATGACAGTGACAGTGACAGTGACAGTGATAATAACAATACAATAAAAATGAAAACAAAAGTTTTTTCTTCCCGAAAAAAGAAAAAAGAAATAAATAGAAATTATTTCTCCATTAAATTATTGCTACTTAAACAATGGTTATATGCTTTTAAATAAAAAAAAAATTCATCCGTTTTGAAGAACTTCAATAAATTTTGAAAATATTTAACCATTGAAAATGATTATGAAAAGAAAAAAGAACTGCAAAAATAAAAAAAAAAAAATAACTAAAATGAATTATTTCAATTAATGACAATAATAGAATTAAATTAAATTGCAAGAGAGAGAAGAAAAAAAGGAAAAGAAGAAAAATAAAAATGTATCAAAATCTTTTTTTTCTCAAAAATTTATTCAAATAATAAAATTTTCGTTTTATTTTTTTTCTTCTTTCACTCAAATTTTATTCATATGAAAACATATTTGAAATGGGAATAGTCCATTTTATATATATTTATTTATTTTCTAAACTAAGATAAAAACAAAATTGAAATTTCAAAAAAAGAAAAGAAAAATCTATTCGATGGAGGAAATTTTTTTGTAATAGATTAATTTTAGGTGAATTTGATCAAATCAAATATTCATTTTGAGGTAAAAACTTCAATTAAAAAGAACTGTACAAAGATTATAAGAAGAGAAAGAGAAAGAGAGAGGGAGGGTGAGGGAACTGAGAGAGAGAGAGAGAGAGAGAAGAAACATCAAAAAAAAATTAAAATAAGAAAGAGACTTGAATGATGTGTAGACAGGCATTGAAGAAAAGAAATTTGTGATAAAACTTTGTTTAGCTAATAAAAGTAAGCAAGCATGAAAAGCATAAAGCACTCAACAGCTGTTTCTATTTCGTTCAGCACAAAACGCCGCCACACATAAACAACAAACGATGCAATGAATCCTCGCTAAAAATTGATATTAACAAGAAGTAAAACGGATAAAGTTATGCATAAAAATAAATAAATCAACAAAATGAAATAAACAAGCAAATAAATAAATAACACGAAAAAAGAAAAAATGAAAAATAAACAAACGTGTAAGATTTAGTTTTGAATAAATTTACATAAATGAATTGAAATATTGCAAACTGATCAAAAATAAATAAAAAGATGAATAAATAAGTCAAAAAAAAAAAATAATAATAATAAAATGAAAAAAAAAAAAGAGATGAATAAATAAATAAGTCAAAAAGAAAAAAAAAATAAAGTGAAATTAAACAAATGTGAGAGATTTAATTTTGAATAAATTTACATAAATAAATTGAAATATTGCAGATTGATCAAACTGATCAATAAATTTGTTTTAAAATTAAGATTAACTTATATTCTCAATATATTTAAATATTTAAATGCCAACCTTAAAATTACGAAAATATTAAATGCGTAATCAATGCTATGCAAATATTAAAATGCTAATTTCAAATTTCTAAAAAATACTACAAATAACTAATTTGAAGTTTGGGAAAAAAAAAAGATTGCATAATCGATAGATATATTAGTACAAGTAGTTAAGAAAATGATTATAATAGAATGAAATGAATTTTGTTGAAAAATAAGAAAGAATATTAAAAGAGAGAAAGATGAAAAGCGATGAAGTGATGTTGAACTGCAAGAATTATGAGCACAATAAATACATTCTATAAAAGTAGTAGTAGTCATTCATCTTTCCTTTAAAATTAGAAATTAATTGCTCATGTAATTACAAAATCCGATATGACCCAATAAATAAAACTACAGTAACAATACTAGCAAAGATGACAATAACAACAATGACAATGACAATGACAACGATAACAATGATTATGACGATGACAATGACAATGACAATGATTGCATCCAAGAGCGCCCATGAAGAGAGTAGGAATTGCAATTCTTTGAAATGAAAAGTAATATAATTGAAATAAAGTGGAGCTCATTTTGATAGAAATATATTAAATATATAAAAATGCATATGATGTCCATATGTTTTTCTTTTTTTTTTTTTAAAAAAAAAAAGATATAAAAGATGCAAAACTATCAAATGAGATTTGAGATAAATTCTTGTTTCTTATCCGAGTCGATATATGTACATATGATTTATTGAATTTATTTCAGATCAGTTATATAAAAAAAGAAAAACTTGTATTTATTCAAGAATTTATAATCAGTGTATTCTTTCAATATTTACTGATTAAAAAAAAAAAAAAAAAAGAATTCCATTTTCTAAAAAAATAGTCACAATCAAACCAATAACTGTTTGTTTATAAAAGGAATAATCTGATTAAAATGTATCATTAAAATTATATGAAATTATTTTTGAAATAAATACAATTAAATACAATAATAAAATGATTAAACAATGCTAAAAATCAATAAAGGAAATTTCAGAAAGTAAATTTACAAAATTTTATAACATAATGAAAACAACGAACAATCAATATACTTCATACTATTGTTTTTTTTTTAAACATTCCACATTAATTAATATTTTATTGTTGTTGTTGTGATTGAAAGAATAATAATAATAATAGAAACAATGAATAATAATGATAAGATAATAACAACAATAATAATAAAAAATAAATACCAATAATTTTTTCAAATAATTTCAATGAATCAATTTAAAAAAAAAAAATCATTTCAATTTCAATTTCAATCAATAATTTCAATAAATCAATAAAATTTATATAATGAAAAATTGTTCTGTATTATATAAAAGTATTGCGTATTACTTTCTCATTATGTATGGAAGTTGTAATTTGATAACAAAGATAGCATAGATAGAAAAGGTCACGGATATTTACGTCATTCATAGCATAGATAGAAAAGGTCACGGATATTTACGTCATTCATAGCGTCATTCCTTCACGTAAGTTAGTGTAATATTTTATTAGCATCCTGACTCATTTTCAGTGATTTTTGAAATATATCACTGTAATGAATCATAATTTACTAGACATTATCTCATATTTGAGAGGGAGAGAAAGGGAGCGAGAGAGGGACAAAGAGGAGAGGGTGAGAGAGAGGGACAAAGAAGAGAGGGAGAATTTCAATGCTTAGGATATATGAAAATTTTTTTTTGACCATTTTCATGCTTATTTTTCCGGAAACTAAGAGAAAGGTAAAGGAAGAGAGAGAGAAAGAAAGAGGGAGAGAGAGAGAGATATCATTATTGAATGAAGTAATTTAATTTGCTACTCAAATATGTGTACTGTTGACATTAAGATATTTCCAGGTGACATATTTCATCTTTTAAATTATTTAGAAATGAAATTAAATAATATTAAATGTAACTGAAGAGAGTAAAATTTTTATATTAATTACAAAAACATATAATTATTGCTGTATAAGAATATGCACAGTAAAATACGATTACATTTCAGTTAATCTAAAATTTATCATAAAATTTAATCAGTGCACTAATAATTATTACTAACTGTTACAATTATGCTAATCAAATTTATGCTAGAAAGAATAGGATGATTGAGATAAATGAAGCAATGAAATTTAATGAAATCAGAATAAATTAATGGTATTTAATAAATCAATAGCAATTTTATTTGAAATTGTTTACACTAATTAAAAGGAATGAAAATTGAAAATTGATAATATTCAATTTCCTATTTCTATTCAAAATTTAATTCTAGTTTTATTATTAAATTATGCATTTCATTTTCAATGTTTTTACTATTCAAAAAAGAAATTTTTCTTTCTTCTTGTCTTTTTGATCAAAAAAAGAGAGAAATATCACAAATAAAGTCATTTTGTTGATGATAAATGAAATTTCGGGAGGGAAAACAATGATAATAACATTGTCGAAATAATAAACACAGAGGGAGAGAGGATGAGAGAGGGAGAGAAAGAAAGAAAGAAAAAAGTAAATAAATAAATAAACAAATAAAATAAATAGGTTTAACGGAGCAATGGTGTATTAAATAACGAAATTTCTCATTAAACTAAAATTTCGTATATTTGTTGCATTTCAATTTTATTACTTCGAATTCAGAAAATTATCCATCGGGTAATCATTAAATGTTCATTTTTTTTTATTTGAAATTGATGAATAGCATGAAACGTAACGATTTCTCTCAAATATATTTAAATTGAAATTGCGAGGAGAAAGCACTGACAGAAACATTGTCAAAATAATGGAGAGAGAGAGAGAGAGAGAAAAATTTTTTTTTCACCATTTAAATCTTAATTAGAGTTAAGTTAAGCTCATAAAATATGACATTACTCACCGAAAAAAAAAATATTAAAAAATTCAAAGTTATAAATAATTGTAATCGATGTAGGGCGAAATTAGGAAATTTTTGAAAGTAATCTTTTTTTTATTTCTTAGAGTCCTAAATAAGACTAAAAAATTTAGAGCCCTAAATATCGAGGTGATCACTTCTGGCGACATAAACAACAGAAAGTAGGGTGCCACTGCTTTAGATGTCACTCTTAGGGGACAATTAATAAATGAAAAGAGTTATTCATCCTAATTTAGGATTATCACAATATCACATTATATGAATAAATTAAAATACAAAGTTAAATGAATGAAAGAAAGAATGAGTTTAAAGTTATCATTTGTTATATAAAATATTTCATAAATAAATAATAATAGTTTAGCAGAACATTAAAGTAAACAGTAAAAAATTTGAATATAAGAATAAAACATTATGTAAATAAGTAATAAGTTAATTTAAGAAGCATGTAAGTAAATAAATGGCCTATTTTTTCAAAAAAAAAAAAGCCCAATTTAGCCAAAATAAATCTATTTTATATTTAGGCTCATTACATATATTTGATAAACATTAAGCAAATCATCTAATCTTTTTTCAAAAATAAAGGCTCATTAGCTAAATAAAACAAATTTAAATTTAATTTATGATTTAATGATTATTTCAGTTTATAATTGAAAGCATTGAAATGAACAGCGATGGTAGTAGTAGTAGTATGGGTGACGATGACAATACTGTCATTGTCAACTATGGTAATATATATATACTAAATATATGTGTGTACACACATACGCATACACACACACACACATAAACAACAGAGATGGGCAGATAATGAAGAACAATAGAACGGACAAAGAGCAATTGCTAAGGGCGAAGATGGTGACAATAACCCGCGACAACGGCTAGTATTTCACGAAAAGCAATTGAGACCTGTCTGCCCATATCGGGTTTCTTGATTTATCTTAATATTTGTGTATTGTATGTTCGATTACTCTTATTACCATGCATGTGTGTATGTGCGTGTATGTGTGTATGTGGGTGCATGTCTGTGTGCATGTGTTTAATTTATTTTAATATTTGTGTATTGTATGTTCGATTACTCTTATCAAGTTTTTTTTTTCTTAAAAGTGTGCATGTAAGTGCGTGCATGCTTGTTTATTGAAACAATAGGCGTTATTTCTAGCTTTAAACTTTTATCAGAATAATTGAGCAAAATAGTTTGATAAATGATAAAATCAGTGATATGATGATTATAATAATAGTATTTGTAGTGATAGCAATGAGATAATGATACTATTTAATAGCTAACCTAAAATTAGCATCTAACGATTAGATATATGCAAAATTTGACAAAATAAATAAGAAGGGAAGGATAAAGAGATAATAAGATCGATACTGCGATGATTATGATGATTGTGGTGATAGCGATGGTAGTGATAATACCGGTGTAATAATGGTACCGGTGTAGTGGTGGTATTGGTGTGGTGGTAATATCGGTGTAGTGGTGGTATCGGTGTAGTGGTAGCGATGCTTTTAGCAGCTAGTCTTAAAGATATCATCTAACTTTGACTCTTTAAGATAGAGCATTGATGAAGCATTTGCTTGCTTCCCTCTACCTCTTCCTCTACCTCTCCCTCTTCCTCTTCCTTTTCCCTCTTCCTCCTTCTCTTTCTCCTATTCTTTCATATTTCATATATTGCTGTTTGCCTATTGAAATACGATAAACTGATGATAATGATGATAACGATAATAATAATAATAATAAATAATAATAATATGTCATAGTTATAGAAAAGAAGAAAATATGGCGGTGTTGGCGGGTGGCGGTAATAATTATGCTAATAACCGATGGTAGTAATAATAGTAAGGCAATATGTTGGATATAAGTTTAAGAAAAAAGTGAGCTTTTCAAATTTTATAAGAGTGAAAAATTTTTTTTTTCTTTTGGTTAGATGATTAGTTAATTCCCTTGATACATTAACATTATGGCATTATTATTCTTTCTCAATTTGTAACTTTTATCTTTTCCATTTCTCTTCCTCTTTCTCAACCTCAATTGTGATTTTATAATGATAAATTACTACTTGATTGAATTGAAAAAAAGGAAAGTTAAAAGAAAAAAAAAAGAAAGGAAGAGAAAACAAAATATTACGAAAATTTTGCAGGAAGCTTTTTTTTTCTTTTTTTTCCGGATGGGAATTAATTTTCAAACGACTTAAAAGTGTAACAGATTGTCGGATGTCAGAAGCATTATCTTTTTTTTTTTTCTTTCTTCCGCTAAATCAAATTGTTCATTCTTCTTTCACTGCCAAAAATCATCATTTATTGTCACAAGAACCACATGTTTTGACATCAAAATCACCACCTTTTCACTCGGAATCATTCCGTCTTCACACATCAGATTCACCACGTCTTCACATCAGAATCACTCCGAATCATCACTCTCCACATCAGAATCACTCCCAATCATCACTCTCCACATCAGAATCATTCCGAATCATCACTCTTCACATCAGAATCACTCCGAATCATCACTCTTCACATCAGAATCATTCCGAATCATCACTCTTCACATCAGAATCACTCCGAATCATCACTCTCCACATCAGAATCATTCCGAATCACCACGTCTTCACATCAGAATCGTCATGTGCTGTTAGCAGAATCATTCATCTACTGTCATCAGATTGATGATGTATTATATCAGTGGTTAGGTTAGTTATTCTAGACAATTCGGTTGACAATTTATCGGATGTCAAAGCATGCATGATTGATTGCCTTCTTTTTTCTCTTCCACAAAACCATTCGTCTGTTTGATTTACCTGTCTTAGACAAAAAAATTCAAATTATCAAACTTTCATTAATCTAACTTCTATTCTTTCTATGCTATAATAAATGCCTTTCGTTCATCAGTCCAATACATAATTCATTCATATCGTTGAAATAAATTATATTTCGAAAAGTTAGAAAAATCTTTGAAACATTCTCAGATTGTTAAATATATTTGAGTCATTCGCAAAAATTTAATTAAAATTTATCAAAGACCTTTCTAACAGAAAAATTAGAGTTATACATATATATATATATATTTGTTTATGTATTTATATTATTTACTATTATTTCCTATTTACTAATGATAAACAAATTTTCCACTTTATTATTTTATTATATCTTTCATTTCTGGTTTTAAAATTGTTTCACAAGTTTAGCTTATAATCGTTAGAAATTCTTTATTTGATATTTATTTATAATAAACTATTGGTTATATCGAAGTGGAATGGAAAGATATATCCATCTGTCTTAATAGTGTAAAATTAAAAACAAAACATTCCTAAGTACTGTTTACTTTTGTATTTAATATATATTTTTTGATTACATTAAATAATAATTCAATCTAAATGAAATAATTCATTCTAAATGCGATTTATCAATGACTTATATATGTTCTGTAAAAAAAAAAAAATTTTTTTAAATTGTAAATAATATGTTACAATGTTGAATTAACGAATAATGAAATCATCTTTTGTTCAAATGTGACAATTACAAATTGACAACTGAATGAAGTTGTTGGACATGATAAAGGTGACATATTAATGAATTTCATGTAATGTAATCTTATCCAACTGACTTATCTTCCCGATAATATCTTTTACTAATCAATCGACTAAATTCAATTTAATTTGATTTAATTTAAACAGATTAATATATTCCGTAAAGAAAGAAAATGGCATCTTGATTAGTTCTCTAAAATGGCTCTCTCAATTTAAATTATCACTTAATTCAATCTAAATAAAATAATTCATTCTAATTGTGATTTATTAATAACTTATAAAAAAAAAATTCTTTTTTTAAAAAATGCTTTTAAAAATTTTTTTAAAAAAGAAATTAAATATAATAGCATTAGTCTTTCATGTAAATAATTGTTGGCAAATTTAATTGCTATAATTACATGAGGATAATTATGGAAGATGAGTTGGGAAGTATGTGGGTAATATTCTTTTTATTTCGGGTAAAATAGAATAGTTTCGTCGAAATACATCTCCATATTTTATTGATATTAATTAACGAGTAAAGGAGATAAATCAATCTTATCTGTATCTATTTTATAAAATCCTACCTGTACACCTTTATACCTATTCCAATTAATCTTACTATTATCCTTTGTGCTGTATCTGAAATAGCTATTGTATTGTTGTTTACATATACAATTACTTTATGCAAATGTGAGCGATAAGATTTAGAAAGAGTAAAGTAAAGATAAAATCATCCACAAGTGAATGTTGTAAACAATTCCTCTTTTTAAACTTCAATTTTCTTCCTAATTAACTTCAAATAGATAATGAATATTCTGGTAAAAAGTGTTCATTGCAAATGATTTAATTATTTTGATCTTTTTATTTTTATTCAAAAAAAAAAAAAAAAAATTTATTTTGATGATCAATTATCTCATTTATATTTCTGTTCAATATTAAATATTAGATTTGAAAATTATCATTTTTTTCTTTTATAAATTTGAGTTAAAAAAAAAGAATGATAGAAAAGATTGATGAAAAGTTGATGGCAAAAACAAAAAAAAAAAAAAAAAAATTCATTCATTCATTAAGTAAATATCTTTGAAATTTTTATTTAATTTTTCAAGTATAAAATATGAACAGGTAAATGTAGTTTAGACAAAAATATTCATTTTAATTTAGCACAATTTTGAAATTGTGGCATTGAAAAGTTTTAATTGTTGAATAAAAGAAAATTAATGATTGTAGCAATTTAATAATAATAATATTAATAATAATAATAAATAAATAACAATAATAATAATAATGACTGTTTCAAATTGATAGATAATAATTGTAATTTATATCACTAAAAGGTTATCAGTTGAGTTAGGTGAGGGTATTTGTTAGCTTGATATGAGTGATAATTTCATACAGGTAATACATATACAGGTGATGTATGAGGTGTAACATATTAGCTAATAATTTATGACAAAAGAAATGAAATATCACAGAAAAATGCATTTTCTCGTGAAATTGTTCTCTTATTATTGTCATTCTACAAAAACATTTGTTATCATTTTTTTTTTTTTAATGCTAATATTGCAATTTTATTAGTTATTGATGACAAAAGAAAAGCATTTATATTATTATTTTGTTATTATTATTATTATTATTTATTGTTAATTATTATTTCTATTTATTATTGTTATCATTATTAATTATTATTATCGTTATTGTTATTGCTACTATTATTATTACTGTTTTTGTTATTATCATTAATTATTATTTATTACTATTTTGCAATTATTGCAGAATAATTTTATAAAATTCATCTGTTATCATTCTTTAATGCTATATTGCAATTTCATTATTTATAAATAAAGGTAAATTTCTTTTTTTTTGTTTAATAATTTTTTAATATTATTGCACATATTATTCTAACCGTAAAAATTAGAAAAAGTAATAATTCAAAATTTTTCTGATAAAGTTGCAGCATCAGAAGCTATTATCATATCAGAATCAATTCGTAGTTGCATTATATTATTATCATTATGATTCAATGCTGTTGTAGTAGGCGAAATTTTACATTGATTTGTTCCCCTGAAAATATCACAATTTAAAATTATTATTTATTTATATGAATAAAAAAGAAAAAAAATTTTTTTTCCTCTATCATATCATTTTGTTATTATTATTATTATTTATTGTTAATTAGTACTATCACCTCTTATCATGCTTTATCATTATTAATTAAATGCATTAGAAATTGTTTAAATTTAACTGTCAATAATTTTTCAATAATTACAAAAAAGCATAAAATAAATGAATGGGAAAAAATAAAAACAAAAAAATAAGAAAAGGAAGGAAAAAAAAGTAACCGAAAATGACTTATCACTGCGATAGCATCATCTACTGTTGGGAAAAAACAATGCTTTGGTATAGTTTTAAAAAATTTTGCTACTGCTAACGAATCACGAACACTAGCTGAAAAAAAAAAAGCTTCATTCTTATAATCTAATTTAATTTATGTAATGCTGTAATTAATTAACTATAATTATAAGTAATTAACAATATATTAACTGTGATTAATATTAAATGACCAATTAAATTAGTGCATTTTTGGTGAAATTTATAACTCCAACTTATTTCATTCTTTCTTATAATTTAATTTAAATTTAATTTTTTTGAATAGAATTCAATGTTTATCATAAAAATTATCACATATGAAATGATTGTTATAGTAGCAAGCGGAAAAATCAATTTCGATTATTTCATTATTATCGAATAAAAAAAATAGTTTGCAATTTAAATACGAACAAATAAATATTTGCCACATATTTGTAGTATTACAAATATGCATAATTTATGTCGAATGAATAATAATAATAATAATAAATAATTTAAAAATATAGTGAATAAAATTTTAATTTAACTCAAAAGAATTAAAATATTTTTGCACTGCATGAATTCTTTGTAAAATTAATTAATTGTTTAATGCTATATATTGCAAAAAAAAAAAAAAAAAAAAAATTGAAAATAAACTTACTGTTGCAAGCACTAAAATATATGATAATATTTTCACTTTTTAGCTCATCAGCAACCTAAAATTAAAACTAAAAAACAAAAAACAATGCTTTTCAAAAATATTATAAATATTATATATGTATATAAAAGAAAATAGAAAATATTGTACAAGAAAATTTCAATGGATGGATTATTTGTAACTAAAATATTAAATAAAATTTTAAGTCAAAAGGATTTTTCAGTTTAATATTGAGCAAACAATTGCATTTCAAGTAAAATGATCACTTCATTTAGTTAACATTCTTATCAGAATTATACAAATCATATTTATATTGATTATTTCAAAAAAAAAAAAAAAACTTTCTAAATCGATCAAAAACTTGCAAATCTACCAAAAAAAAAAAATTGTAAATGATCGTTCAAAAATGCTATCATAGCCGTGATAAAAAAAGAAATTCTCATAAGTGAAATTTTATAAATTCGCTTATTAAGCTATTATTCTAATCGTAAAATATTAAATTTAAAATAATTTAAATTTGAAATTATTGCAGAAGGAAATAAAATCTCCTTGAATCTTTTTTTAAATTTTAAACTGAACCTCTTTTAAAATATTTAATCCCATACAATCAATATAGGATATACCGGAACAATCAAGAATAACATAGCGTTGATTTAAATTTTCCAAATTATTCGCATTTACCGAATCATTCTGTAAATATAAAAAAGTTTTAAAAAAAAAAACATTTTTTCTTTTTAATACTTTAAGTAAAAAATATAGTTGAAAATTTTAATGAGGCAAAACAGAATTTTTTTTTATCATTTTGCCATATCTAAATTTTAAAATTTCTTGAATACCAAAAAAAAATTTTGAAAATTTCAAAGATTTAAGCTGTTTCATAATTTTTTCAACTACATTATCTATCGATTACAACAATATTATGATGTTACAATTATAAATTTTAAAATTCTTTGAAAGGAAAAATAAATTACTTGTAAAATCTTTTTAAAAATTATTTACTAATATTACTAAGTTAAAATTCTTCATTACTTTGAAATAAAAAATTCCTTTTTTTCTTTTTTAAAAAACGATTTTTCTTCTGAAAATTTTCATCAAAAATTTTAATTGAAATTAATTTTTACATTTATATCAGCTTTAGTCTTCCAATCAGTTATCGCATTATAAATGCCTAATTTAAAACATTCCACATTATTAAATAGTAACGGTGATTCGAAACGAAATAAACGAATATTAGGATTATTTGCTGCTGCAAGGTAACGTTTTGGATTATCAAAGTATGGCTGAGACGGTGATAATTGCACCAATCTTTCCCAGCGAGGCCTTAAAAAAGAAAACAAAAATGAAAAAAAATTCATTAATAAACATTTAGCTTTTATATTATAAAATAGTTGTATGCATATATTAGCTTTATCTTAAAATATTATTTATTATCATTATTGTTATTATTATTTGTTATTTGTTACTATTATTCATTCATTATTATTATTACTATTATTAATTATTATTATCATTGTTATTATTATTGTCATTAATTATTAGCAAATATTATTATTGTTATTATTGTTAGTTATTACTACTAATTATCATTAATTAGTAACAATAATAATTACTGATAATTATTATATACATATATTATCATTAATTATTATTGTTATCATTGCTGTTATCATTATTATTGTTATTATTAATTATTATTATTATCAATTATTGTTTATTATTAGCATCGTTATCGTTACAGTTATCATCATTACTGCTATTTTTATTGTTATTAATATTATTATTTATTATTATAACTAATTACTACTTATTATCATTACCAATTATCATTATTATCATTGTTATCACTATCATTATTAAAATATTTGTAGTTCAATTGATATTGGTTTCATAAATTTTAACATTTATATAAACATAATATATGCGTATATACATATTTTTTTTTCTGGAAGACATGAAGAAATAATATTTAAGAGTTTTGTGAAATATAATTAATTTAAATTTTAAAAACAAAGAAAAAAAAAATAAATATAATTTAAAAACAAAAAATAAGTATTGAAGATAATATATACCACTGTGAACGAACAATAAGTGTCATTATAGCAAATATTACTGAAATTATCAAACCAATCATAACGTCTAGTGCTACGGTTGTTATAAATGCTACAATCCAAATAAACTGCAAATTATTCAATCATTTAAAACGATATTTTATTGAATTAAATGATAATAAGCTAAATTAGCACTCAATTAAGATAATAATAATAATAATAACTTATCTAATATCATATTATTATATTGTTTATCATCAAAAGATAAACAATATTAGTCAATGCATTAATGAAATTTTGGTCTTAATTAATTTGCATTGAAATTTAAACGTCACATTACAAATGGTATAAAAGAAAAATTAAAAATTTTAATTAAAGCACCAATTTTAAATTCTACTTCTATAGTTAACATCATAATAATTTTATTCTATAATTAAAACATTTATTTTATTTTATTTAGTAAAAAAAAAAGAGAGAAATGAATGAAATAAATTGGTGTAAAAATTATTAATGAAACATACGAAATCAATTTTAGAAATAGGCCAAATTTTTGGCAATTCGGAAAATTTTTGAAACATTGAACGAAGCGACATAACGATAATAACAGTCAATATACACTATAAAATATGTTTAATTTAAATTTTAAAAATAAAAAAAAAAACTTTTTTCTACTCTATTTTTATTTTCAATTTCTTTTTTTTTTTTTTGTATTTGTTTTTTAAAAAGTTTTTTTTTCTTGAAATAAATAAATAAAATAACAAACCATTGGTAATGCATTTAGTAGTGGTGCAAGCACTAGAATAACGGCCAATAATAATAAACAACTTGATATGGCAGAAAACTGTAATAATCATAAATTATTTATTTTTGATATTAATTAAAAATAGCATTTATTCATTTATTTAATTAATGAATAAATTATTTTAATTCATTTTTTAAAATTTTTGCATTTTTTATTCGTTCTCTGACATAAGAAAATGTTTGGTATTTGTAAAGATTGAAATAATTAGAATAGTCGAATGAAAATTGAAAATTTAAAATTCGATCAATGCCAAATAAAAATGGAAAAATGAAATGATAAAATGATGTAAAATTGAATAAATATATAAAAATGGAACACCTTTGAAAAATAACAAAACAGAAACAAAAACCAAGAAAAAAAAGGAAAAATAAATTTTATGTGTTCAAGAAATAAATAAATAATTGAAACTTTTTTTTAACAGCAAAATAATCAAAGTAATATTAAATATTTAAAAATTTATAGCAATGAAAAATTATATCGTTCCAATACATTTTATTTCATTTCATTTTTAACAAAATTAAGACTATTTCAATTTTAATAATAAAATATTTCTTTTTTCTTTTGTAATAAGCATTAAAACTGTTTCAATTTTAATAACAAATTGAGTGAGAAATTATTTTTTCAACATTTATGCATTTTATTAATTAAATTAACATTAATAAAAATTTATAATGCTTATTTGATTGTTTATTGTTTATATTAGCTACATAATTATTAAAACATAATCGTAATTATATGAATTTTGTTAGTTGTTAACATTACCATTTACAAAATGATTTAAACTTATTGTCTACGAATCATTTTTGAAAAATTACAAAAAAAAAAAAAAAAAAAAAATTTCAATGTATTTCACTTATATTTCAATTAATCTTTTAACTTAAACGATTATCATAAGAAAAATTTTCGGATAAAAATATTTTATCAAGCAAATTGATTTTATTCGTAATATTTTCACCTCATCTCTGTCTCTGTCTCTGTCTCTCTCTCCCTCTCTTTGATGTTTGATTTAAATAGTATAACAGTTAATAAAATAATTATTTCAATAATTGATATTTATGTGAAATTAATAATGACAATAAATTTTTTCGATAAAACTTATGTATTTTTACAATTATCAACAAATTATTTAACAAATTAAATTTTTAATTTTATTTTTGCAATACAATATCCATAGTAAAATTATAATTAAAGTCTATCTTATCATTCTGAACTGATAACAATGTTATCAGTATGATTTATACTATTATCATTCATTGTTAAGTTTTTCTTTCGAACTTAAAACTATAATATTATTGAAACAATTCGAATAATTGTTGCTAATGAAACAATAATTATTATTGGTAGATAATTCTAGCAATTAAAAAAAAGAAAAGAAAAGAAAGAGAATATTTGCAACTGATCAAATTACATAACACTAAAAGAGAGAGAGGGAGAGACAAAGAAGACAGAGAGAGAGAGGGAATTATTTTTTACCTTTGTTAAAGTTAAAATGAATTTATTAATTTTTTTTTTTAAAATATGTTTACCTGTGTTCTTATGCCAACTTCAACACCAACCATTGTTCGAGCTAATGCAGTAGCAATCGGATAAATTGGAAAGAAACTACTGAGAACTGTTGTGAAACCTAATGCATATAACTCCTAAAATAGAAAAAAAAGGAATTTAAATTGAATAATTAAAAAGTTAATTAAAATTACGATATTTTACTAATTGAAATTAACAACAAACTGTGAAGAAAAGATGAAGAAATACACAAAATCATAGATAGATATATGTAACTTAAAATGTTATAATTATTTATTAAAAAATTTTCAAATTTTAAAAAAAAAAAAACATTGAGCAAAATTAAATCTCAAAATTCTAATTAAAAAATTGTAACAAAGATAAATTTTAAATAAACAGAAAGTAACAATTCAATAACGAGAAAACCAATGAAAAACTAACAAAAAAAAAAAAAAAACAGTACTGCACCATCAAAATAAAAAAAAATTTTTAAAAAGGATTTCTTTTAATAACAAATTTTTTTTTTCAAAATTAATTAACCGGTTTGGAATTAATACGATATTTTATTCAGTTAAATTTTGAATTTCTAATGTACAAAAAATTTTAATTTCTAAAAAAGACAAAAATTTGTGCTAAATTAAATTTTAAATAACAAAAAAAAAAAAAAAAAAAACAGTGACAGGAAAATCAGTAAAAAAGTCATCAAAATAGAAAGAAAAAAAAGGAAAATAATTCCATCGTCAAAACCAAAAAAACAAATGTTAAAATAAAAAAAAAAAAAATATTTTTTTATATTAAATATCAAAATTTCATCCTAAAATTAATTAACCTGTTTAGACCTAAAATTAATTAACCTGTTTAGAATCAATGTGATATTTCATACGTTTAGCTAACATTTTAGCCATTGATATATGAATAGCAACGGTAACAGCAGCAATACCAATAGCATATGGAAAACAATCAATAACAATATCAAAACGAGGCAATCTTGGTTTAGGTAAGCTTAAAATTTAAAAAATTAATTAATTAATTAATTAGTGAATGAAAGTCAAAAATTTTTCTTATTTTAAATACTATTAAAAAAAAAAAAAAAAAAAAAAAAAAAACAAAAACAAAAAAGTTCGATAAAAGCCTTAAAATATAACTTTTATTATTGATATGCATCAGTTTAATCACATTTTTTGGCTTTCTTATTTAGTCAAAATTAGAACTTAAATTTGAAATAGTATTTAACTAAAAACTTTTTTTAACAATCAATCGTAATATTCATACATTTTTTGCTTGTTTTACTACTTTTTTTTTAACCAGAAATTACTTTTTGATATCTTGATATAGAAATTAAGAATTAAATTTGAAATAATAATCAATTAGAAACTTTTTTAACAATGAATGGTAATATTTATTTATTTTTGGCAATATTAATTTATTTTTATTCATTTTTCCACATTTTATTTTTGTTATTTAATTCGAAAATATCTTTTTAAACAAGAATTTTTTGAGATAATATTTAATTAGAAGATTTTTTCAACAATTAATTTCAATCAATTTTGAAATAATTTTCATAATTTTAATTAAATATTTAAGCAAAACACTTACGCTGTAGGAATTTTACCAACAATTGGTACACTGTGATATGTATGCAAATTCATATAATGTGAAATAATAATTGATATTACTATCTGTAATATTTAAATTACAAATTACATTTAAATCGTTTTAGTATTTATGCTTAATTAGCTTAATCGTTTGAAAAACTTATTTCAATCAAAATTTGTTTAATTATATTATTTGATAACACATTTCATAGTGCTTTATTAAATTAAATAATTCATATTATTTGATTTAATTATAAAATTTAGCAATATATAGCAGATTAATCATTCCATTATATAATTCAAATTTTATGGAAAAAAAAAAGAATATATTCCTATTAAATTTATTAAACAATTATAACCACTGATGTAAAAACAAAAAAAAAAAAAAAAAATTACCAAATACAATTTGAATTTGCAAACTTTAAAAAAAAAGAAAAAATTTGTTCAACAATTATTTCAATTAAATTTATTGAAAGATTAAATTTTCTTATTTCTCATTTTTATATTATAATCATACATTGAATTATTCTTTCTATAAAACATACTGTTTAATCATTTATCATTTTTTTTTCTTCATCATTTATCAATTGCAGTATAATTATGAAGAAAAAAAAAAAATTTCATGCATTAAAAAAATAATAATTTAAATAAATAATTAAATAAATAAGTGAATGAAATACTTACCAAAAGTAATTCATAAGGTATGGATAAATTAAATTGTAAACATTTGTTTAAAAATGGTGTCATAAGAGTTTTACCCAAATAAAGGAAAATTACACCAAAAATTGATAATCCAACTGTATAAAAGTTAGTTTCTGGGATATGTATTAAAATACTATAAATTCGCTGAAAAAAAAAAAAAAAAAACAAATACTAAAACAAAAAAAAAAAATATATTAGCTAATATATTTAATTAATAAATTACAAATTTGTTTATTTTTTTTTTTTAAAATTTAGAAAACTTTGCAAAACATTCTTTATTTAATTAAATATTTACAAAAAAAAAAAATGAGAGATTATTGTAGGTGAAATGAATTATTGTATAAATAAAATTAATTGCAATATTACCAAATTATTAATTTTTTGAATAATTTTTTTTTGCTTCTTTAATTAAATTATTAATTAATTGAGTTAAATAATTTGTAATATTAATACAAATAACCTGTGAATAACAAACAAAAAAAAAAAAAAAAGGAAAAATGCAATAAATAATTTTGCAATAAAATTAATCAAAAAATTATTGAAACATTTTTGTGCTTTTATGCCGATATATAAAAATATATTCATTAATTTAATTTTTTTTTCTGACAAAAATTAATTAACTTAATTAAATTCTGATCAAAAAATAAAAAAAAAATAAAGATTGAAAAAAAAGCAAAAACGCTGCATAAACTTTCTCAAATGTTTTGTCAAAATAATTTTTAAAGAAATACTTCAATTTTTTTGAAAATGAAAATATTTTTTAATAATTTTTAATAAATATTTATTAATACCTTAAAAAGATATCCTATTCCACTAAATTTTGGTACGTTAATTCCAAAGAAATCATCTATTTGAGCAATAATAACATGTACAGTAGAACCGGTAATAAAACCGGAAACCAGTTGATCTGAGAAATAAGCAGTAACAAATTCCAATTGTAAAATACCCGCCATTAACTAAAATAAGAAATTTTTATTAAATACATAAAAAAAAAAAACAGTGCATTGATAATTCCCCCCCTCCCCCCAAAAAAAAAAAAAAAAAAAAAAAAAAATCTGCCTTTTAATTTAATTTATTATTAATTTCTTACCTTCTTTCAAAAAAAAGAAAATCTACTAATTACAACAAAATTGAAAAAAAAATTTTCTTAACTAATTCATTAACAATATTATTTGTTATTTATTAATAAATATCGAATAATAATCAAATTGCTAAATTAAAAAAAAAAAAAATACTAAATTTTGTTTTGTGATTAAATACATTCAAAAAGAAAATAAAAAATACATTAATTGTTGAAATTATCAATTAACAATGAATGAATACCATAAAGTAATAATTTGGAAATGAAAGAAACAAAAAGAAATTAATGAAATAAATTGAATTAAATTAAATAATTATTTTATTATTAGTAAAAAACCGGAATGCAAATTAATTACTTCAATAATTCCAGTTGTAAATGCAAGTGTTGTAGTGATTTCAATATAGGTTAGTGATGATAATGTGTTGTTATCATTATCAATGATAATGATATCATCTGTTTGTGATCGATGAAGCATAATTTCATTGCTTGCTAGTGCAGACATAATTGCTGTCACAGCAAATGATCCTAAATAATAGTGATAATAATATTTTATTTATTTCTATAATAATTAATAAAAAATATTGATTTGTTTTTTGATAGCTATAAGAAATATTAGTTTTTTTTTAATAACAATAAGATTTTATTTTTGATAAGTAATATTATAATTATTTTGTTTTTGAGATAATAATATTTTGTTCTTGCTAACTAATAAACAGTAACATTTATTCTTTTTTTGTAGTAATTAAAAATAACTAATAATATTTGCTTATTTTTTATTAACTAATAAACAGTATTTATTTTATATAGTAACAAATAAATCAGAACTGATGATTTCTTTTTTTTAAACGATAATGTTTATTTTTATAATAATTAGTAATTTATTTTTTAGTGATTAATTTAAAATAAGTAATAATTTTTCTTTCAGTAACCAGTAACTAAAACTAATGTTAACATTTATTTATTTTTTAAATTATTAAGTAAAAATAATATGATTTGAATATTTCATACCATTAATTAATGTAATTTATCAATTTTGAATTAAATTTTTATTTACCAATTTTTAAATTCTTAAGCAAAAAATAATATAAGTAAAATAAATATGTGATAACATTAATTAATGTAATTTATTAATTCAGAATTAGTGATAAACAAATTTTTATCCATCAAAAAAAAAAAAAAAAAAGATCTTTATATTCGTTATTAATTTTAAATTTTATAAAAATTAACAAGAAAAGATGATTACCAACTGATGCATGTTTTGATGTTCCAAAAAACATATAAAAAAAGACCGGAAAAAAGGATGAATATAAGCCGTATACCGGATCAACACCTGCTAACACTGCATATGCTATACCTGTAAAATACATAAGTAATACTAATAATTATAAAACTTTCAATAAGAAGTTAGAATAGCTATCATTTCAAATTAATTAAAATGTAAACAAATTTAGTTTATAATCTATCTAATATGTACAATCGCTAAATAAAAAAAGTTTTTTTTTTTAAATTTAATTACTAAAAAAAAAAAAATTTAGCAAAACGAAAATATTTTAGATTAAGTAAAGTAAATAAATTTATTTTAAAATCTATCTAACATGTATAATTTTAAAAAAAATTTTAAAAAATTTTGAAAAAAAAATAAAGTTAATGAAAAAAGAAATTTAAAAAAAAAATTAAGTTAGTTTAAAAAGAAATTCAACAAAACAAAAAAGTATTTTTTTAAATTAATTAAAACAGTCCAAAATACAATATAGTTATAAGCACTAGAAGAACAAAAAAGAAAGAAAGAAAATTTCTGTAAAAGTTATAAATTAAATCAATAATATCTATTAATGTTGTGAATTCTTATCAGTTCAACAAAACGATTATGAATTATTCACAGTTAGTAAAATGATAATTTTTTTATCAAACTGATAAGCATATTTATTACAGTGATAAATTTATTTAAAAAAAAAAAATAAAATAAACCTTGCGGTACATGCATTATACCAATTGTTAAACCACCGATAATATCATGGATCATATCATTTTTCCATTGATAATTTGGTAACCATTGCAAAATTGGTACGAAATTTGTAAACCATCGCCATAAATTAATTGGATTTGAGCATGGCGCAAATGTCCGATTTGTTACTTTTCTAAAAATTTTCATCAATTATTTGACAACAATAAAATTTTTAATCATTCATATTTATTTATGAATATTGCAAATTTTAAATTATCACTTTTTTTTTTACTTCTATTATTCTCCAAAATTATAATACAAATTTATGCATATATAAAAATATATGAAATTTCTATAACAAAATTATACAAAGAATATAAATTGAAATTAAATAATTTAAAAAAATATATACAACACTGATATAATTGCATTTTATAAATACATGCATCTATGCATGCATTTAATAAATTGAAATATTTGCATGCAAATGCAAGTAGTAACTTACCAAACAAATGACGTAAAAAAAAGAAAAAACGTTGAAATAGTATTATCACGTATATATATAGAACGGAAACGTATGTTAAGTAAACTATCATAAGTTAATACGTAAAATTCACTTTTATTTTGACAAAAAAAAGATTTCTTTTTCAGGAAAATGAGTAAATAATATCCGGTATAAGGTTTTTTTTTCATTTCTTCTCTTTTCCCTTTTATCTTTCCCTCCCTCCCTCTCTCTCTCCCTCCCTCTCTCTCTGTCATTGATATCGAAAGAAGATGAGCGATACCAGGAAAATATTCGTGTATCAGACATTGTAACATCATTAATAAGTATTACTTCAACCGATGTTTCATCGCTGACTTTGACCTGTATTGAAACTTTCGATCATATTCATCCTTAAAAAAATAAATGAAATATTTATTTATTTTAATGTTAGTCTTTTTTCATTAATTACGTTTAAAAAAAATTTGTGAAAATAATTTCGTCAAAATTTTATCTTAAAATAATAAAATTTAATTAAAACTTTTTTTTTAGAAAATAAAATTAATAGAATTTTTCTTTCAGTTTTTCTCTGTTATTTTTTTCAAAAATATTGCTGTGAAAATGAATTGTTTATTTATTTTTTAACTAATATATTAAACATTAAAAAAAAAAAAAAAAGTATAATATGAAACTTTAAATTGATTGCATCATTCTATTTATTTTAATTGAAATTTAATCTGAACAAAAAAAAGGAAACCGATATTTATGAAATTAACCTGATTTAGGCCATAAGTATTCCATACACCTTCGGTTTCCATTAATTCTAAAATTATTAAAATTATTAAAAACTACTAAATGAACACTATTCATTAAAATACGTTTACGCCAATTTTCATTTACATAATTAATTTTTAAATTCATTTATAAAACGTAATTACTTTAGTACTACTATTTGATGAATACAATTAACAAATTTTGTCTATTATATTTTAATAATAAAAATTTTCAAAACATATAGCTTACTTTTGAAAATTACATATTTACTTTTACAACATTCATATATCCATTGTATCTTATTTTATTTACCTATTAAATAATTTATCTATTCTTATGAAAATTGAAAAGTTTTATAATAGCTAAGTTTATTTAACTGTCCTAAAATTAATGATATTGGATCAATGGATCAATTTTCTTGAAAATACTGATATCAGATACATTTTTTACTTTGATTTTTTTTTTAGTCTTGTATTCTAATTAATTTTCCTGAAATTAGTAACACCGAATATATTTTTTTTTATCGAAGAAAATTTTTTGTTTTTTTTTTAATAATTTATTGAACTTTTGTTAAAAATATTATAAGCACATAAGATAGACGAAGAAATGCTTAAATCTTGCAAACACTAATTCAATAATTAATTCATTTATAATTAGTTGCAAAATTAACACTGCAATAAATCACAGCAATTTACATTATATCATAAAATTTTTTTTTTTTAAAAAAAAGGAATAAATGACCTAATTGATTTACTTAAAGTTTGCATTTGAAATTTAGATTAACTAAAAGTAGCTGAACAGAAGAGGAGAAAGAGATCATTTATATTATAAATTAGTATAACAATCTAAGTGAATATGACATTTGTGACAAAACTTCGTTGCTTACTTTGTTATTGAAATTTGAATAAAGGTTCATTATGCGATTAAAGCGATTAAAATTTTACGTTGATGTAAAATTGAAACGCTTCCACTGACTAATATTCACTGGAACCACCGATTGTCGCATATACAGGTGACAATCGGTTTGGAGAAAAGCTCTTTGTTAATGAATGAAACAGTAAAGATTATAAGTATGTCACTTTTGGATTAGCTCAATAATTTTGATATTTTTTGCTTAGTTTGTGTCAAATTCTCTGATTGATTGCATGTCACCATGATAGTAATAATATGTGACAACAATGAGTCATCGAACAAGGATGTCATCTTTCGTTCAGATGTGGCAGTTAGACAAAATAGAATGAAATGGACAGAGCAAAGGTGACAAACATATCAATAATTGCATGTAATCTTATCTAATTGATATACCATTCTGATAATATTTTATATCATCAATTGATTAGATCAGATTTAAACGGATCTAATATTCCGGTTAAAAAATGAATCTTAATTAACTCTCCGTAATGGTTTTCCCAACAGTTATCAATTTTGATTACTATTTAATTTGATCTACGAAAATAAATACCTCAAATATATTACTTGATCAACCCTCTAGTTTGTTTCCTGAAAGCAAGATTTTCATCTTTCAGAACGATATGAATGTATCATTTCTTCCGGTATCAAATATTCCGACAATTCCGGTTATATACTCAAAATTGAAAAGATTTACCAATGCATTGTTTACAGTTCAAAAATAAATTATTTAATCAAAAATTATTTCTGTCTTCGATTATATTTACAATAATTTTGTCTTCCAATAAGTAACAATAAAGAAAATAAAAGAAAAAAAAAGAGAAGCGCTGGTGAAATTGGGTACAAAAATTAAATTATTCAATGAAAAGGAAAATTTTCAAACAGAAAAAGTTATTTGTCACAAAAAGACAATCCACAAATGTTTTATATGACAGATTATAATAACAATGAACGATTTATCACCAATGAATAAATTAATAATATGCACAAAGTGTTGTTAAATTGTAAATTGAATTTTTAGTTTTTATTAGCTAATTCAATTTGCAGTGCATTTCATTCGTATTTTTCGTAAGATTAATTAATTATCCTCAGTTACCTGTTTACAGGAACATTTCTGGTACTAAATTACATGAGTAATCAATTACCTTTTGCCATTTTCAATTTTTGTTTACATCATGAGTTCGGGGTAAAAATTTAATTGATGCTTTATTTTCAAAAAAAAAAAAAAAAAAAGGAAATATACATAAATAAGAAAAATAAAGTAATGAAAAAAATGTGATTAATAAATATCATATAAAAAAACCAATTATAAAAACAATTTTACAAACGTACATTTATCAATTTGCATAAATTTGTTATTAATAATTTTTAAATTTGAACAACTGATAAATGAGTCATAGATGTATTTACAAATATTAATGTATTATTGCATATAATTAATTTTTATAAATACTTTCCATTTTTTCTTGTTAGCTAATATAATATATACGTTAGAAACAATATGAGTACATAATTTCCAATTGTACATTTAATAATTAAAAGATAAAAATTTTACAAAAAAATGTCTATCAAATGTCAAAACATTATATTTCAATTAATAAATTGCAAAAAAAAAGAAAAAAAATATTTGAAGTTATTACATTGATAATAAATCAAATATAGAAAAGGCTTATTTTAAAGATATCATATAAACATAAATGTAGACAGAATATATATAAATATAATTATAAAAATATAAATACAAATAAAAAAATAATTATGAGCATAAATATAAGTTAAAATAAATTTTAGGTATAAACATGAAAATATGAATAGAAATATCAACATGAATATATAAATACAAATACAAATATAAATATATGAATACAGATGTATATACATACATATAGAAATAGAAATACAAATACAAAAATATAAATATATAAATACAAATATAAATATGTGATTGTACAAATTCAAATATTAATATAAATATAAGTATAAAAATGTAAATATATAAAATAAATGCAAGTATAAATGTATTAATACAAATACATATATGAATAAACAATTATATAAATAAAAATACAAACATAAATAAAAATATAAATACAAATATAAACATATGTATATGCAAATAATCCAATATTTCAAGCAAAAAAATGATGTTTAAAATGCTAAATAGAACACTCTAAGCTTTCCTATTAAACTTCAATACGATATCATTTCAAATTCTAAAAATTATTTTCAAAAATTTTGTTTTATTATCGTTTATTCATTTGTTTATTCCAACCAAATGGATTGTTTATCATTTTTATTTTTGATAAAAATAATGAGTTATTATTATAATTAGCTTTGCAAGCCATATAATCAATAAAAAAAAATTTTTTATAATACATATTTTTTCTATCAATAAAAATGAACAAAAAACAAACAAACAAACAATAAAAGAGGAAAAAAAAAACTATCAACAAAAAATTTATCACAAATTTTTCATCTCAATTGTTTAAATAAAAGAAAAAACGGTTTAACAAAAAATAACAATAATAAAAGATTACTTAATAATAGCATCATAAGATCTGATCTAATTTAAGTAATAATCGTTTAAAAGTAATTTATATTGCTGCATCGTATCGATATGTAATGTGTGAAAAAAATTTTTTTATAATAATTTTGAATATTATTTACTTTTCAACTAATAAATAACTTTTGGCCATATCAAATAATTGTTTATTGGTCACAAAACAAACTATTCATTCTATTGTAATTTTTTTTGTTTACTTAACGCTAAACTATTTAATTGATTGCATGTCACCATGATAGTAATAATATGTGACAACAATGAGTCATCGAACAAGGATGTCATCTTTCGTTCAGATGTGACAGTTAGACAAAATAGAATGAAATGGACAGAGCAAAGGTGATAAACATATCAATAATTGCATGTAATCTTATCTAATTGATATACCATTCTGATAATATTTTATATCATCAATTGATTAGATCAGACTTAAACGGATCTAATATTCCGGTTAAAAAATAAATCTTAACTCTCCGTAATAGCTTTGTCAACAGTTATCAATTTTGATTACTATTTAATTTGATCTACGAAAATAAATACCTCAAATATATTATTCGGAATGATACTTGATCAACCCTCTAGTTTGTTTCCTGAAAGCAAGATTTTCATCTTTCAGAACGATATGAATGTATCATTTCTTCCGGTATCAAATATTCCGACAATTCCGGTTATATACTCAAAATTGAAAAGATTTACCAATGCATTGTTTACAATTCAAAAATAAATATTTAATCAAAAATTATTTCTGTCTTCGATTATATTTACAATAATTTTGTCTTCCAATAAGTAACAATGAAGAAAATAAAAGAAAAAAAAAGAGAAGCGCTGGTGAAATTGGGTACAAAAATTAAATTATTCAATGAAAAGGAAAATTTTCAAACAGAAAAAGTTATTTGTCACAAAAAGACAATCCACAAATGTTTTATATGACAGATTATAATAACAATGAACGATTTATCACCAATGAATAAATTAATAATATGCACAAAGTGTTGTTAAATTGTAAATTAAAATTTTATTTCTGACATTTTTTCCCAGAAACAAAGTATTCGCTTTGTGCAAAAAAAAGGAAAAAATGAAGTAACGAAAGCAAAAATTAATACTATTAATAGATGGAAATTAAAAGGAAGCTAATTAATTAACAATTTAATGGAATACCAGAAATAATCATTCTAAGCAGGTAAATGTTTGTTAATTAATTACACATTTTACCCTTTTTACCTGCAAAAATTCATCATCAAACATACGGCTGAAATATATTAGAAATAAAACTGGCTTTTGAATGACAAAAATTTCAAATTTACAATTTCACTTGAATTTCAATTCAAATTTCACTTTAATACATCCGAATCTTATGTTAATTATTATAGCATTATTAATTAATTAAATAACTAATTATTATCAATTAATCTGTCAACAGCTATTTTCTTTTCTTCATATTAATTTAATTTTTACTGATAACATTTCATCATCAGTTAATCTATTTTGTAAAATGTTTATTATTCTCAGAATGATAAATAAAATTTATGATAATGACCGATTATTTATATTTGATCGATTCATTTCATTTATTTA